GGGGTTCCGTCTGGTTGTCGTTCTTCAATAGACTCACCCTCTATTTTGCCTTTGGCTGCTAAATCCAACAACAAGTCCACAAAGTCATTCCTTCCCGTAGGTTTATAGTTTCTTTGTTCGAATACCTTAGTTATAATATCAATGAATACTTTTTCAATTTTGGGATCGAAAAGAGAAAGCATGCTTCTGATCTCTGGAAATAAGTCCCATATTGTATTGAGAAAAACTTCTTTTGTAGAACGGGAGAAAATTTGTTTTCCTAGTTGTCGGAAAAATGAATTCTCATTCGTAATCGTATCCATTTCAATACCAAGACCACAAGCACCGATGAATTCGGTGGTGAATCGAGCCATGAGCTCACGAACGTCACATTCTCCACCTTTGGCTACAATGTCATCACCCAATCCATTTAGCTTCTCGGCACATTTGACTATTAATGGAAACATACCTTTCAACTTGGCTGTTGTAAAAGCAGGAGTTAATCTTTGACGTACAAGCCTCCAGGCATCTCCTTCGACACTGAAAATATTTTTCAATAAAGGTTCTTTTTTCACATCTCTTCCTAAGCCCCGTAAGTAAAAGTATCCGAAGTCAACATTTAATATATCTCTCACTATTTCTGGATCTCGGATTATTAGTTCAGCTGTATTTCCACTGAAATAACCCACGACTTTCTCCTCAGGATATTTATAATATAAATCAACTGCTAGAGTGGTAATACTTTTGATTGCGAAAGCGTTTTGCAGGTGATTGCCAAATAAAGGTAATGGTGGATCATATTTTATATTTCTTTTAGCCCAGTAGTTATGGTTTCGGGTCGTATATAGGTAAATTGCGATCAGCAAAATAATAACAAGTAAAATCATGTTGCTGCGTCAAATACTGAGTAACGACTGGCATTAAAGAATTTAGTCGTCTTTTACAACATATTCTTATCAAAATATTATTAACTTATCATTTCGTTGCATCTGTATAAGACTGTTGATTAAACAGCAGTATAATCCACTAATTATTTTTTGATAATTGGGAGGAGTATGATTCATGAATTTTATTTTTATATTAGCGGCTTACCCTCGCTTCGCTCGGGTTCGTCGCTAGGTACGTTTTAAATAGATATAAATAATTATTAGCCAGCGTTAGCCATACAAATGTGAATTTTTTTTGTTAATTTTTCATTTTTTCTCTTTATTACAACCTTCCGTGGACCTTAAGGAACATACGAAAAAAATGTAGTCGAATTCGTCTAGCCATTCTTGAGTTATGCGCTTACCAACATTCATTTTTATTTATAAAAGTAGATAATATAGAAATGGTTAAATCTTTAGGTTTTGGTCTAAGAGTCTTTAATTTTTAATCAGTTAAAAACTTTTTTTTAAAGTTTATATAAAACCTGATTAAAACATAAAGTAGAATTATAACTTAACTTTAGAAATATTATTTTAGAAAACGATAGGTATGAACTTTAGAACATCACTGGTTCACGACACGCTTAGAAATATAATTTACGTTAAGTGCTGCAGAGAAGTGATGGTTTGTTAAAAATTACTACTAGCGTAATGACTGATGAGGAAACCGTAACGGTGCCGAAGATGATGAAGAGTTGCGATCGAATCATCCTATATATGGCTTAGATATAGTCCCAATTACTACCATTACTAATCCAGCTACTCTTACTGCGAATTCAGATACCATGTCCGTTGGTTCAGACAGTATTAGTATTACCCTAATCTAGATACAATGGACGTACAGTACGAGGTTGAAATTAGTAATGAGGAGCATTGGTCATAATACGTATGTATGTTTGATTTTGTTGTATGCTTTATATTCTATAAAATATAATTTATGTTTGGTGACTAAAATAATTGAAGGAAAAATGTCGCTCAGTCTATGCCTTTTTATAGAGTTGGTTGAAGGGACACGATTATTCGGTTCATACTTACAGTTTGTAGTTGAAAGGATAGTGACCTTTTTTTTTTTTTTTAACGTTGGGAAATGCATTTACGCACGACGTGTGGGACTCACCGGCGTATACAGCCAGTACTACCCACTAAAACCCAACAAAACCTTCCCCCGTCTTAATGGGGCGTCGCAAGATCGCTTACGCATTCAACTACGACGCCCCGACGGCAGGTCTGCCAAAGCAGACCACCACAACCATGGGGTTGCTCCACAGTTCTCTCTGCTATCAGAGAAGTACCAGGAGCAACCCGCATGGTACACCGCCCCCCGAAGAGGGCCACCTCCCACCGCCCACCGAAGTGGGTCACCTCCCTGTGCGTTTCTTAGCTTCGCTACTACTACTGAGCCCCCCCACCACGACAAGGTGAACGCACATTGGGGGGGGGGAAAGGATAGTGACCTACACGAACTATATAGTGTGGGATTTTGTTCGAAAGGACACATCCATCCGGGCTATATTGGTTTGCTTGAAGGAACGATGTCATCCGGTCCATAATCTGAGATGGTCGAAAGGATACATGCATTAATATATTGGGATTTATGTACAGAGTATGACAGATCATATTAATTTTAATGCTACTGAGAGTTATGTTTCTAAGAGACAGAATAGACGAACGGGTCACATAGTTATGTCATCATTTTTGGTTTAAAATCGGCTTCAATAAATGGACATCCGAGGATGGTCGAATGTCAGTCCGGCCGTGATGGTGCGCTCAGTGCGCCATCTGGTGGTTTTCGGTAATCTCATCGGATTAGAGTGTGAAGTTAGGCTTCGACAGCGCACTCTAGTAAAGCAACAGAGCGATGGTAGCAGGGTGATACAAACTGGCAGGTTTTAAAATAAATTAAAACAGAGGATAAAGTTGACTATTTGAATAACAACAAGATTAATGCCAGATTTGGACCGCCCGTGCATCACATAAACGACGAATTACTTATTTCCTTTCTTTATCATTATCAATTGTGTAACGTTTAATTTGTGCTTTATTTTTTTAACACAGTATTTTATTTCTGAGTGAAGTGAAATTAACTTAGTCGATTAAATCTACTGTATTTGTTAAGTCATTGTTTTGATGTTGGCCATCCTGAGCTGACATGTATATAATAGCTTTTACGCAATTTTATTTATTCTTTATTTTTACCCGACTACGACGAAACTCAAAGGAGGTTAATGTGATTGACCTGTATTTATGTTTATACAAATTTACATATATACTGTACGGTATGTAGATGTAATTATGAGGGAACATAGGATCAGACATTTATGTACGTATGTACGTCGCATCCGATGTTCCCTCGTAATTACCTAAAACCTTAACCGATTTTAAAGATTCATACGTCATTAGATTCGTCTTGATTACGCGAGCGTTGTAGATAATATAGATATTATTAAAAATAGCGGACGTCAAGCGCAATTTTTTTGTGTTTTAAAAGGAAAATAGTATTATGTAGTCGAAGAAATATATACATGTCTCCTATTGCATTCGCTTTTTACGCATTCAAAAGGTCTAAACAAGTGGCGTAAACGCTAGTAGAATAGAGTAATCAATGTATCGAATTTGTAATTGGCAGCCAAATGTTGATCTAATCTATTCGATATGAAACGTCAGGGTAGTACATTAATTTCCATAGAAATTGAAGACAAGTGGCACTTTTGACAAACGAATTCGGCTGCAGGCGTACCCGGTACGACACCTATCGAACGCTAACACCTTGTAGATAATGCTATAAATACATTGTTGCCATGGTAACCGTTGTTATTACCTGACAAATATTATATTTTTCCGTTTAAGAGATTTTATAAATATTAATTGCGATATTTGCCAAAGAAGTTTTACTTTAAACGCACGTAAAGGTTACACGCACCGATTTTTTTTGTAAAATGCATAAACTTAGAATATTTTGGGCTGAACATAATGAAGAAGTGTGGAAATGTTTCTCGATTTCTTATTTATAGCAAGGTTTAGATTAGGTAAATAAACATTTAGAAAGCTTTGTCGGGATTTACGTGCCCATACCTTATGACGAGGAACTAAAGATTCCCGTGGAAATAAAGGTAATTATATGATTTGTTTATTTATATAATTAAATTTGTTGTTTATTCAATAAACATCTTATAAAACATTTTTCCTTGCTTCTCTGAGTGATAAAGGGGGCCTTTGAACTATCTTTAAATTTGAGGAATTACAAGATGACCTTAAAATATAACACGCAGTGGCAGTCCAGTGGTAACGCGCTCGCTTAGGAAACCGAGTGAAGCGAGTTTAAATCCCGGATCTCGCACCTCTGATATTTTCATGTGCGAATCATTTCTAACATGATTACCACTTGCCTTACAATGAAGGAAAACATCGTGAGGAAACCTGCATGTCTGAGAGAACTTAGCAAGTTTTCGAAAGACATGTGAAGTCCGTCAACCCGCACTTGGCCAGCGTGGTGGACTATGGCCTGATTTTCCTTGTACTGAAGGGAGGCCTGTGCCCAGCAGTGGGACGTTAAAAAGGGCTTAATACATACAATACGTACTTAAAATACAAGTATAATAAAATCCTAACTGAGACGAATCTTTATATTAAATATTTTTTGGAAAATCTTATTAAAATAGTCATTATTATCGATACAGAGAAATCTATAGTTTTTAGAAGATTTGTTTGTTTGTCTGTCCGTCTGGGAACGCATCACGGGAAAAGAAACTGGAGAGATCTTGACGAAATTTGGTATGATGATAGCTGGTTATTACGAGTCAACATATAGGATAATGTTTCTTGCGGGAAAAATCTCATCTCTGAGAAACCGATACTAAACGTTAAAAAGTAACTAGGGACGAATTCTATATATTGTGTATAACATACTGAGACCTCCCAGAGTATTTTTGTATATATATATATATATATATATATATATATATATATATATATACAGCTATTATTTTTATTTTTAATCATACATAATATTTTGTCTTTATTAAATAATAATATACCTATAATAAAATAAATAAGATATTATATAAATTCTAAATAGAGAAAGAAATAGATTTTTCATTTTTTTCTCAATTTCAGTTTAAGCGGGATTCCATTTATAACACTCTGTATAACATTTAATTTTGGATCAACTAGAGGCTTCCTTCGTGTCTTATTCGACGGTTCTACTGAAAACCTATGCAGTACAGCGGCCAGCCCCGCTAGAGACTGCATGTGTCCCAAACGAGCTCCTAAAACAGAAATTGTGAAGTTTGAGAAGAATAACCCATTGGCTAACAGTTTTATAAGTTCATTTAACAAAAGTTCTTTAGCATTTTTTATAATCAGTATGCGAGCACCACAGAATTAAAAAATATTTTTTAAAATATTTAAATCACTCTTCTTCCTAAAAGTAAGGAAAACTATGTCCATTGGGTACGCCACTAAGCCATAAACCAACGAACAAACAATCTATTAATTTATTTCATGAACATAGTCAAAAACTTATTCAGTTATTTACGTACCTATGCACGCTCGGGGACCTTCTCCAAAAGGTAAATACACATAGTTACGTCTAGCACTCTCCTCTTGTGCGCTAAACCTTTCAGGCATAAATTTATCCGGATTTTCAAAATATTGCGGATCATTCTGAATGGCTTGTAAAGGAATTATGATTTGTACTCCAGGATCAATGGTCACACCAATTTGAGAGATTGTGTATTTTTTGGCGCAAACTCTATGTAGAGTACCTAAAGGAGGGAACATTCTCAAAGACTCTTTAAATGCCATATCTAGGAGCGTCATTTCTGCAACAGCGTCAAAGCAAAGTTCGTTATCGTATTTAGCCAGAACTCGGTCAATTTCATTTTGTATATTTTCTTGTATATCGGGATTGAAAGCAAGTTCATGTAAGGTAAAGCTTGTAGAAGAAGACGAAGTTTCGAAGCCAGCACCAAAGAATACGAACACTTGTGCTACCATACAGAGCAAATCCATTTCCATTTCGACATATTTTGGGGTTCCGTCTGGTTGTTGTTCCTCGATAGACTCACCCTTTATTTTGCCTTTGGCTGCTAAATCCAATAACAAGTCCACAAAGTCATGCCTTCCCGAAGGTTTATAGTTTCTTTGTTCAAACACCTTAGTTATAATTTCAATGAATACTTTTTCAAGTTTGGGATCAAAAAGATTAAGCATGCTCCTGATTTCTGGAAATAGTTCCCAAATAGCAAAGAAAAAAACATCTTTTCTTGAACGGGTGAAAATATCTTTCCCTAGTTGTCGGAAAAATGAGTTCTCATTGGTAATCGTATCCATTTCAATACCAAGACCACAAGCACCAATAAATTCGGTGGTGAATCGAGCCATGAGTTCACGAACGTCACATTCTCCACCTTTGGCTACAATGTCATCACCTAATCCATGTAGCTTCTCAGCACATTTGACTATTAATGGAAACATACCTTTCAACTTGGCTGTTGTAAAAGCGGGAGTTAATCTTTGACGTACAAGCCTCCAGATATCTCCTTCTGCATTGAAAATATTTTTCAGTAAAGGTTCCTTTTTCACATCCCTTCCTAAGCCCCGTATATAAAAATATGTAAAGTCAACACTTAATATATCTCTCACTATTTCTGGATCTCGGATTATAAGTTCAGGTGTATTTCCGCTGAAATAGCCCACGACTTTCTCCTCAGGATATTTATAATATAAATCAACTGTTACATCGGTTATACTTTTGATTGCGAAAGCTTTTTGCAGGTGATTGCCAAATACAGGCAATGGTGGATTATATTTTATATTCCTTTTAGCCCAGTAATTATGGTTTCGGGTCGTGTATAAGTAAATTGCGACGAGCAAAATAATAACAAGTAAAATCATGTTGCCGCGTGAAGTACAGTATAACGACTAACGTTATAGAAGTGTTTCGTTTTTTGCATGATAATTTATCAATTTATCACTTATTTTCCACAGTATACGGCTGTTTATTGAACAACAGTATAATTATATATCATATTATATTTTTTATATTTTTATATATTTTATTATAAAATATAGATGTAATAAATTTTGTAATAGATTGTGATCTAAGAGATATCAAATCAAGACATTTTCATTTTTTATCAGTTGAAAACGGTTTGGATTAATTAAAGTACAGATAAAACCTAATTAAAATATAAAGCTTCATTTTAGTCAGCCGAGTACATTTAAAGAAAAGATTTAATCTACATACTCCTATGTTAAGCGAGCCAGCAGTATTTGGACTTAAAACTGGTATCTCTTCTTGGTCGTTGCCTCACCGCTGAGGAGTGATTATAATTTTTTTTTAATAAAAAGAAGTTTCCTGAAAGATCAGATCTGGACGAGGTGAACAGGCAAAAATCCAAGCTATCTATAAAGCTCAAAGAATCGGTGTGTAGTATCATCAGTGGCCAAGACACATTTGTCGCAGAAATGTTGTTGTACGTACAATAAGTAGAGTATAGACCACGGCTTCATATATAGATGGAGCAACTATAATATAAGCAAAATGCTCGCAACTGAGTATATAAAATTATAGTGAATTAAAGAAACTGATAAAATAAATGTTTTAATATTTAAAATATACATATTATATAATATTGTCCTCCCATTAAATGTTTTTCTAGCTTGGTTATTGGTATTCTTATGTAGAGTTTAACAAAAGAAAATATAAACGCTGAGTTTTTGTTTCCTTAATATACCTATATAAATAATCAACCATAAATATAATCTTTTGACATAACACAAACAATATTGGTAATATTGTGTAGGTCAATGGTATTGATAGGTCAAGGTAAATACTTTCTTAATACTTTCTTAGATTTACGCGAATATTTAACATTTTAAATAAAACTATCTTTTCGGATTTTGTCGCGGATTTATTTGCATTTTTGTTTCCCGACGTTTCGAATGCTTTACAGCATCCATGGTCACGGGAGAGACTGAGGAGTTACATGCCTTGAATGTATAGTTGTTACAGACAGCCTACCCACAATTAACAAAATGAAAATTGCACCAATTACATTACAATATTTTTTAACTTTAAACATTTTTATAATTTTAATTATAATTGAATATGGAAAATTATTTATTTAATTTTTGCTATTATTTTTATAATTATTACAATTTTAAAATATTAATTAGTAATCTATATTTAGTGTTGCTATTATTATATTTATAACCATAAAGAAAAATATAAAATATAGTATTAATTATTTAAGCCATATAATTGTTCTATGTGTAATTTAAAAAGTTAAAATTAATTTAGGATAATAACTTTAATTTAGTTTGCTATTATTTAAAAACAACTTACTAAGCAACACTATTAATATATACTTTTACAAATGAAAAATGAAAAATATTAATCTGATAAGCTGTCATTTTGATCTACACAGTATGAACTTACTACAATTCTGCCTGTCTGTTATGTTATAACATAACAGACAGGCAGCTTATCAGAATAATATTTTTCATTTTGTTAATTGTGGGTAGGCTGTCTGTAACAACTATACATTCAAGACATGTAACACCTCAGTCTCTCCCGTGACCATGGATGCTGTAAAGCTTTCGAAACGTCGGGAAACAAAAATGCAAATAAATCCGCGACAAAATCCGAATAGACAGTTTTATTTAAAACGTCAAGGTAAAATTGATTCGTTATTTGTTTCGGTCTAATATGTATTAAAATTATAAGTCGTCGCATCGTGGTGGGATGATAAACCAGGGGTCGCGATGAATGTTTGTCAATAATTATAGGTATTGTGTTCATAGATATCTGCTTACCTAGTTATTGTTATCTTATTCGAGTGCCAATAATCCTTCCACGACCGCAGACACGCCGGCGTAGCAGTTAGCCATAGATTTCTTAGAAATTTAATTAATTTCTTAGAAATTTACCAAGTATTATCATAAAATTAAACTACCTATGAATTGTGAATACCACTTTCCGTGCCTTTCACATTAAGAACGACAGAGTTTCATAGAACTTTTCATCCCGTGCTTTACCTCCCTAGAAGATGCATTTTGAAAAAAAAATTATAACTTAAAGTTCCACTTCAATCTGAAGTTTGGAAGTGGGTGAAAATCGCGTTCAAAGATTCCGTCTCATAGATAGATAGATACAGGTTGAAGCAAATAAAAGTGTTGAAAACCAGTTTTACGAGAATATCTTTTGTCCAGCGTCAACTAGGTAATAAATGGTCTTTAAAAAAATATTGAGCATGAAATTTTCCACGACTTATATAACATAATTTATTCTGATCAAATAAATAGTTAAGGAGTTGCAGCAAAGCAAGGTCAAGCGCAGCAATTTTTTACAATTTGCAAAATCACTACATTTTTTCTCCGAATTTCAGTAAAGATAGCAGGTCTGATCTTCTTTCTCGTCATCATTGTATTTTTTATCTTCCGAGCCCGCTAAAATCTCTCAAACATTTATTCCAACTTTAATAATATAAGATGGGCTTTCAATCCTAAACGAAAAAAGGTATTGTCACGGTAATGTTACATACAGTATTTCATCTTCATACAAAAGGTCGGAAATCGAGTTATACCCACACGCGTCGCGTTCGGTATACACTCGGTAGACAACCGCGCGGGGCTGCCACTTCGTATAATTTGATACGAAAATTTTATAAGATGGTTATGTTATGTAACTTTTATAATTGGATACAAAAATAAACATTTTATTCTTCCCGTAAATTCGCTATTATGTCAAACAAAAAAGTATCGAGACATCGTATGTTTTAAAAATAAAAACTAATTAATTAAATTAAAAATAAAAATTAAAGTATTTTTAATTTAGCTTTTTATCCGAATGCGGATTCTTTATACTATTAAATTTAACAATAAAGCTTTTCTTATGTCTCAGTCGAGGTGCAAATATTTTTAAATCTCAAAATTTATAAGGGTCACATTATAAATTCGAGATTTTTTTATTAAATCTACTAATAATATTTTTTAAATAAAATATATAATATTTGAAATCACAAAACTAGAAAGAAACTGAAGTAGGTAGATGAAATTAAAATACTGGCCGACGGGCAGCCCTGTCGCGTGGGTACGTGACGTTCGGCTGTAGGTAATTATTTCAAGGACAGGCCCGAGTTGGAATACTGTATGCATTACATTACCGTGGTATTGTCTACGAAAGTTCTATTTCATAAGGATAATAATTAACATGCGTATTTTTACATTATTATAGACCTATCTCGAACATCATTTATAACAAGCACATTCGATTTTGAAAACTTTTTTATTATTTTTATGACACATTCGCATTATTAGACTTGTCAACCATAAAGATTGCGATTAAATTTATGTAGATAATATACTCGTATCTATAATAATATTTTTGTTGTGTATAATAATTTGGTTTCAAATAATAATAAAAAAAAACAACAACAACTGAAACGTCAATTTCAAAAGTGTTTACAATTATGTATATATTATATTATTTGATGCGAAATACTAAAATATATTTTATGCAATACGACTGTATTGAGATGTTCATAATAAATCTTAATGCAATCAATAAAGGGGGCCGATGAACTTTCTGATGTCTTAGCTTATCTCTATGCAACAGTATCTGGACGTAAAATATTAAGTTGACGATTTTCATTTTACCATACACAATTATTATATATTTTTATTCAGAAAATTTACGTTTTTATTTTTTTCTTAATTTTAGTTTAAGTGGGATTCCATTTATGACACTCTGTATAATATTTAATCTTGGATCAACTGGAGGCTTCCTTTGTGTTTTATTTGACGGTTCCACTGTAAACCTGTGCAGGAGAGCGGCCAACCCCGCTAGAGACTGCATGTGACCCAATCGAGCTCCTAAAACAGGAAAAATGGAGGCCAACGTAAATAAAAAAAATGCCTACATATTTTGGATTTTAAATTTTACACGGTCACTAAATAAATGTAGTTTTATAAATATTTAACCTAAATAAAATCTTTGTTATGGCTTTTATACATGTGTGTCAGTTAGACGAATAGGAAAATAGGCGCGTGACCATATTTAAAGCGTTCCATTTCGTCATCGGATGTACAAAAATGTAAATGAAATTATTATTAGTATTATTATTAATTTATATAATGAAATTATATTATAATACTTTCTTAGACCGAATATTGGGCCTTTTAAATAAAAAAAAACAATCTTTTCGGATTTTTTCGCAGATTTATTTAAATTTATGGTTCCCGGCGTTTCGATTGCTTTACAGCAATCATGGTCACGGGAGAGGCTGTCTCTCCGAAAAGATACTTTTATTTGAAATGAATAATAATTGAAATCTATTATTGCAGGGACTTAGCCAACAAAATGTCCAGTTATTTACTTACCTATGCACGCTCGGGGACCTTCTCCGAAAGGCATATATACATAGTGACGTCTAGCACTCTCCTTTTCTGCGCTAAACCTTTCGGGCATAAATTTATCCGGATTTTCAAAATATTGTGGGTCATTTTGAATGGCTTGTAAAGGAATAATGATTTTAACTCCAGAATCAATGGTAACACCAATTTGGGAGATTGTGTATCTTTTTGCGCAAACTCTATGTAGAGTACCTAAAGGAGGAAACATTCTCAAAGACTCTTTAAATGCCATGTCAAGGAGCGTCATTTCTGCTACAGCGTCGTAGCAAAGCTTGTTATCGTACTTAGCCAGAACTCGGTCAATTTCATTTTGTATATTTTCTTGTATATCAGGATTGAATGCAAGTTCATGTAAAGTAAAGCTTGTAGATGAAGACGAAGTTTCGAAGCCAGCACCAAAGAATATGAACACTTGTGCTATCATACAGAGCAAATCCATTTCCATTTCGACATGTTTTGGGGTTCCGTCTGGATGTCGTTCTTCAATAGACTCACCCTCTATTTTGCCTTTCGTCGATAAATCTAATATCAAATCCACAAAGTCATTTCTACCCGAAGGTTTATAATTTCTTTGTTCGAATACCTGAGTTATAATATCAATAAGCAATTTCTCCAATTTTGGATTAAAAAGGTTAAGCATGCTTCTTATTTCTGGAAATAGTTCCCATATTGCGTGGATAAATATTTCTTTTCGTGAACGGGAAAACATTTTCTTCCCTAAATTTCGGAAAAATGAATTTTCAGTCGTAATCGTATCCATTTCAATACCAAGACCACAAGCACCGATAAATTCGGTGGTAAATCGAGCCATCAGGTCACGAGCGTCACATTCTCCACCTTTTGCCACAATATCTTCACCCAATCCCTTAAGCTTCTCAGCACATTTGACTATTAATGGAAACATACCCTTCAACTTAGCTGTTGTAAAAGCGGGTGTTAATCTTTGACGTACAAGTTTCCAGGCATCACCATCTACGTGAAAAATATTTTTCAGTAAAGGTTCCTTTTTCACATCTCTTCCTAAGCCTCGTAGGTAAAAATATTCGAAGTCAACGCTTAATATATCTCTCACTATTTCTGGATCTCGGATTATTAGTTCAGGTGTATTTCCATTGAAATAGCCTACGACTTTCTCTTTAGGGTACTTATAATATAGCTCAACTGCTATATTGGTTATACTTTTCATTGCAAACACTTTCCGTAGGTGATTGCCAAATATAGGTAAAGGTGAATCATATTTTATATTTCTTTTAGCCCAGTAGTTATGGTTTCGGGTCGTGTATAAATAAATTACGATGAGCAAAATAATAACAATTAAAATCATGTTATCGCGTGATATACGGAGTAACGACTGATATTAGAATTGGACCGTTATTACTATACTATTCTTATCTCTATCTTAATCACTATGTCATTGCATGTTGTATCGATGAACCGCATACGACTGTTATTTTAAATGTTACTTACTTATTAATGACTTTGTAAATATATAAATTAGGATTGGGGTGCAGAAGAGAAACTTAAACTGACTGTTAAATTTTACCTTATATAAAATAATAAAACTACGGATGGTTAAATATATTGTAATAGGTTCTAATCATCACAACCTCTTACAACATTTTGATTTCTTCCACATACTTTGTACAACTACTACTATTCAGAATTCGGTTCTTTTACATCATACACTTTATGGTGTAAAAAATTCTTTATTAGCTTTATAAATAGGATTCTCTTTATAAATAGGAAATCTACAATATTCATTTTGTTATGTTAAGTGACCCATGGAGTATTTGGGCATAAGCACCACTTAGCTATTTAGCCCACCTTCCTGTAAGGTTCTCGAATATGGAGAAGGCTCAAAGTTTTTCTCAAAAGATTGGATGTAGAACAAGGTGTTCCGACGGAACACCGAAGCTAGCAATATAGCTTAAAGAATCAGTATTCAGAATTGGCAACAGCCCAGACATAATTGTGCAGAAATAATGATGGATAGTGAAGGATTGCCTGGTTGCGACAGCACGGCTCTCTAGGTAAACAGAAACTTGCCTGTAATTAATCACTTTAATGTTAATTTGATAGCGTTGTCGACGTCGGTGAATTTTTCTGTTAATACCTTAATAACAGAAAAGTCTAGTAGTCTCTAAGTCTTATTTTGTTTGTATAAAATCTTGTGACTTTTAAGATAGTAGAGAAGTTTTGAAAGTGACATTGATAAGATAAAGGTATTCTTTGATAAGATAAAAATAGATATGTTCTTTGTTTTTGATTATTGTTATGTGTATTAGTTTGAGACTCGTCATATGTTTATTATCCAACCATAAAAAACCGGGGGTCGCAATAATTTATCAAATACACAATAATATAGACCATAGTTAAAAAAACTTAAAAAAACCAACTATATGTAAGAGACTTGTTAAAACAAACCAAATGAGCCCAAACTGAAAGGGTTCGGGAAGTAGCCTCTGAAGAGTTCCACTATCCACTTCCTGGATTCATCATCAGATCAACTCGAACATACCAAATTTTTAGTTATTATTAGTCATTTGAACTATGAATACGTATCCATGCATCAATCCATACTTTTATTTCGTTAAGAAAATTAGAAGTAGGTTAAAATTGTTTTCCAAGACTGCCACTTGGTGATAACTATTGACGTGTAATATTATTATTATTTATTTAATTCAACAGATTCAAAAAAGAGTAACAGAAGTGTCATCACTTGGTTTTCTTACAATAATAAGTTTCAGAAGCATCACAACCATCAATATAAATTACAACAGTAAAAATATTTTGAAAAAAATGCCGCGATCCATAATTTGAATTCACACACAAAATTCAAACTCTGATTTGCTTAAAGAGATATAATATTCTAGAACAATATGAAATATTATCATAGAATTAATTTTGATAATATCTTGGTTTGGACGCAGTTTCATAATATTATTGAATTCATTAGTATTTTATCTAATTGTTAAATTATTAGATACTGATAGTAATATTATAATATAACGACAAATAATTTTATCGTGGCTAGTATAATTTATATGGCTATCGCTGGCTAATAACTATTTATATCTATTTAAAACGTACGAGTACCTAGCGACACACCCGAGCGAAGCCACTGGAATAAAATATTAACAAAGTACAATTTGAACCTGGAACCTTATTATTGTTAGAGAGTGCAATAAGCGAACTATTTAAAACTAGATCTTACTTAAGGCTGGATTTAAAGCAGTCTTAACAAAAATATAGCTGACTTTAATAATAACAGGCTGAGATACAAGTTCCACAAACATTTAACCGTATAGAGGATGGCCCTTTTATACTTGCGCAAATACCTGTTTAGGTAGGAGTAAAAGCTAAGGAACAGATTTTTTTTTTATGTCGGGAAATGCATTTACGCATACCACCTGATCCCCTGAGGTGGTGATGTGGGGCTCACCGGCTAGAAGAGCCGGTACTACCCACTAAAACCCGACATTCCCCTCCCCTCCGCCTTAATGGGACGCCGCAGGATCGCTTGCGCATAACTACTACGGCGCCCCGGCGGCAGGTCTGCCTAAGCGCTAGGCAGACCACCAAACCAATGGGGCTGCTCCACAGTCAACTCTGCTACGCCAGAGAGGTACCCGGAGCAGCCCCATTAAACCTGACCACCGCCCACCGAAGTGGGCCACCTCCAATCGGCTGCAGAGGACAGGGAGAGCGGCAACGAAACACCGACACTCCTCTTCCCCTGCAGCCCCACCGCGTCCGCCATCAAACGGTGGCGGCCCCGTCTAGGCCGCGGAAGGTAGGGAGAATGGTGCACCGAAATACCGGCACTCCTCTCCCGCCGCGGCCTACTCCTCCGCCGGATGCGGGCCTGCGACCACAGTCCCGCAACCAGCACCCATCATCCGGTTGTGGGACCAAGCGGTCCCACCACCGGTGGCCGCAACGTCTTCGGCTCGGGTCCTAGACGAGCGGCCCCACCCAAGCCATTTGGTCCGCGCCGGATTTCTCCGGTACCACCCGCCGCCCTAAGCGGGTGGCATTCCCCTATCCGCCACCTGGGGACGCGCCCGGTAGGAGTTGGCTTCTCCCCCGGGAAGGAACAGAAATACCACAATATAATTTGATAGAAGAGTATGTTAATTATACATTTTTAGTACTAAGTTTGTTTGGCCTTCTGACTATCTGAGTTATTTGGTGAACAGCTACATTTCAGTGTACAGGTAAGTCGCAAAACTACCTTAGACTGATAATAAATAAATAAAAATGTTGGGATATTAACACACAGCAGCATCTAGTTCCATGGTAAGCTACGAGGCTTGTGTTATGGAAACCAGATAGTTGACACACTACACATATGTATATAACTTTAAATACATACATATTATAAATATAAATGACTGACTTAGAAATAAACACCTATGACTGGAGTACAAACATTCGTGCTCATCACACAAATGAATGCCCCCAGCGGAACGCAGAGAACAGCAACTAGGGTCACTACAAACTGAGCCAAACGTGTCGTCTAGGTCTATATAATATAGTTATTAAGAATAGTACAAACAGCTAGAAGGAAAATTTAATCACAAGGATTGTATGGATGGAAATTAGTAATTAAATAAAACAATAACAATTCGCAAGCAAACCCATGGGCAAAAGTTGTAATAAATGTATTTCGACAGCTTTCCACAAAACATCGTCTGCTACATGAATAATGAAAATCCAATGTTGTACAATTACATATGATGAATATTTAATATGTGATCGATTTAAACTAGTGCCGTACCTATGTATGTAAGTTGACACAAGTGGTGGTTTTCGAAGGTTCAAGATCAAATAAAAGTAACTAGTCATGTGATATTTGCATAATGATCTCTGCTATGGAAACTTACATTGCAACACAACACAACATACAATTAAATGAAATTTATTTATTAAGAAACATTTCTTATAGGTACATAAAATACTTAAAACCAATAAAAACTTTTATAAAAAGCCGATGCAAAGCAAAACTAATATAATATTTCGACACGTAAAATACATATTATTTACCTATTACGAGTATATACCTTAAATATTGTCGGCTGAAACAGACTTCGAAAATATCTGGATTAGGTATCTATTCTAAATGAAAACCCCTGTTTAGTTTATTTTTTACATTTTAGTGCTTGGACGTCGGTTTTTTTTTAAGTTTTATTTTTCCATTTTTAGTGTAGACGTAATAGGCAGGTACTTTGTAAAATAAAAGTTTTTTAAAAACATATTCGATTAAGTAATTTGTTTAAAAAAATATTTTATTGTTGATTTTTAAAAACCGCTCGACCTATTTCGATAAAATTTAAATGGAACCACCTGGGAAGTATACCATTCGAAACAAAAAAATTCCAAATTGGTTCAGGCGTCTTCAAGTAATTGGTGAACGTACATAAAATAGGCTCCGACGAGTTGAGAACCTCCTCCTTTTTCGAAGTGGGCTAAAAAGATACATACTGCAAAAGTATGAACTGTGTTTCAGATATCAACATCCGCTTCCATTTTTTTTTTAACGTTGGGAAATGCATTTACGCACGACGTGTGGGACTCACCGGCGTAATACAGCCAGTACTACCCACTAAAACCCAACAAAACCTTCCCCCGTCTTAATGGGGCGTCGCAGGATCGCTTACGCATTCAACTACGACGCCCCGACGGCAGGTCTGCCAAAGCAGACCACCACAACCTTGGGGTTGCTCTAAGGTCCACTCTGCTATCAGAGAAGTACCAGGAGCAACCCGCAAGGTACACCGCCCCCCGAAGAGGGCCGCCTCCCACCGCCCACCGAAGTGGGCAACCTCCCTGTGCGTTTCTTAGCTTCGCGCCCGGTTGTATTGCCGGGCACTACTGAGCCCCCCCACCACGACAAGGTGAACGCACGTTGGGGGGGAACATCCGCTTCCATACTATTTGATAATTAATAAATAAAAAAATACTAAATAAGATAATTATTATAAATAAAAATATTATGATAATAAATTGATACATTCACACATATTTCTTTAATCAATTTTTGTAACCGATTATTAACATACTTAACGATGTTAACATTTACTGTGTTTTTCACTTCAAATGACTGCTTTTTCCACTAATTGCCTTACTTGCCTGCCTGGCCTTATTGTAAATAGGTATAAAGCTATGTTTTAACAAAATATATTTTTTTGTATTGTTAGCATTAAAATAACTGGAACAAATTGATAATATTATATTCAGTTAAATTAGAATTAATAGGGGCCCAATTGGATTAAATGAAACTACTTTTATTGCTGCAATAAAATATTATGAAGGTATTAGTATTTAAAAGTCAAGCTAACAAAGGCCCGGCCACCTGCAAAAATGGCTTTAATACAATTATGTCGATGGTAAACTCACATGCGCCCAGCGCGCACGTGGTTTTACTAAGAAGATGGGTTACATTAGCCATCTTCGTGCGCATCAGTGCCGAGCTGACTAGGAGTCGAATTAGTCGCCAGGACCGAAAACGGTCGGACCAATCATCATCATCATCAAAATAGCATATGTAACTTTTGGACAATGTAGAGTTCTAATGGTAAAATAATTATAAAAATTGGTTCAGTAGTTACAGTATTTATCGATTTCAAACAAACAAATAAATCTTTCCTTTTGATAATATAATCGCAACAGTATAGAAATCAATTTTACACATTTTGTAGAAAATTGGATAGTGAAAAATCTAATTTCTATTAGCTGGTTCACTTGTTTCGTAGTTCAAGTCGAAGTGGTAGGCCACCAACAATACCTTGCGTAACGAAAAGTCGTTGATTCTTTTTCAGATGTATTTTTGTTTTCTCAGAAGGTTCAATGGAGAACTTATGTAGAACAACGGCAAGTCCTGCTAAAGATTGCATCTTGCCCAAACGGGCACCTGTAAATAAAAAGGAAAAATAAAAATTAATACTGTTCATTAATGTTTTATTTTATAGATTGTCCAAGAAAGTGTTTTTGTCTTTTCACACTGTTATTGGTGTAATATTGGTCTATTGCGTACAAACACCAAGTTTAGGTTGTTTACAAGTCCAAAGTCGTAATGATAACGTTATTTTTTATTTGTATATTTGCTTGTATCCGCTTTTGTAGAACCAGATAAAATTATAATGTTAACAATTATAAGATTTTATACCTAATAACAAATAAAACATTATATTGATAATTTAGTTAAAAGTGTTTGTGCTACATACCTAAAGATAAACACTATATATATAGATACAAAGATATTAAGTAACAATTTTTCTTTTTTCACATTTCTACATAACCCACGAGGATAAAAGTAGTTAAAATCAACGTTTAGTATGTCTCTAATAATATCTGGATCTCTAATGATGAGCTCAGGTGTAGGACCTCGAAAATATCCTACTACTTTTTCTTCAGGGTACTTATTGTAGAGTTCGCCTGAGACCGTCGTGATATTTTTTATTCCCAGAAAAGTGTTAAGATGATTTCCAAAAAATGGTAATGGCGTCTCATATTTAATGTTTCTTTTATACCAGTATCTATAATTACGCGTGGAATATATGTACAATAATAAAATCAATAAAAAAAATATTAAAATCATGTTACTGTGTAGCAGTGTTAAACTCGAATAACAAATATTGAGTGCATCGAATTATATGGTATTTATATTTAACACATGTGAGATATTATTCCTATTTACATGTCAGGGCCGGACTTTGCGGGGAAACAGGGCTTTTAAATAGAGGAGTCCTTTAATAATGTTGCAAAGAAATTGCATCATTGCGTTTTGGATGCATTGATTTCACAGAAAAATACGTATAAATTCCTGTATTAAACACTGTCATGTGGTGCTAATCGATCTCCGGGGTAGCAGCCTGCTGTCCTGGCTGCTTTTCACTTAATCCGGCTCTGTTATTTGTAGATTACACATACACACACATACACAAATGCAGTGTAGCAACTGACAATTGCATTCTATGTGCACTAAATTTCCAGTTTGAATTCCAAAACAAATTCTAGTGATTTAGAGGTCATCCATATATCTCCGGAGGTTCATTCATTAAACGTTTGGTTGTTCTTTTATGAAGTCTAAACTATCACATATCCCTTGATATCATTTTTGTATGTCTTATAATCAGTTTTGGGATCCCTATTTGCATATCGCTCTTTGAAAGGATAAGGAACTTTTATAGTTGGTCCTGTTTAACCTGTCTCCTCCAAACTTTCTAATAGCTTCTCCGCTTACTTTAGGGCGGGACTGCAAATGTGTATACTGTATGCAAAAATTAAAATGGCCTAGTGACTAATACATTATGGACAGATAAACCGCTGTTTATCTGTCAATGATTATTTGCGCATTCCAATAAATGCTACTAAAAAGGTATTAGGTACTTTATATTAATAATAAATAAACTTTAACTACGCGCCCAAATTCACTACTTAAATTAGTCCATGAAGAAAAGGTCATATGCAAAATGCCTGACAGTATTTAAAGTATTATATAATGATATAGTGGGTTTTATTTGCGTTGAAATTGGCACGTGATCGACAATTTTCCCAATGGGTTGATTTTCAAATACTTGTTTTAAAGGTCTGCTATACTTGTATTATATTGGATTATGACTTAACGTATACTATTACGTACCTCTTTGTGAATGTGATTTAAAATATGTAAGTTAGTACTTTTGCTACAAATAAGTAATAGGAGTTAATGTTTTATTAATAATAAATCAAACTAGTGTAATTTCATTTGAAAGTTGCCAATTTAAAAATACTTTGTATAACACTACTATTGTAAAAACGAAAGTTTATAGTTTTCTACGTATGTTTGTATTTCATATTGAAATGGACGAATGGATTTGGTTGTTTATTGTTTGGTATTTAGATAGATGATGGTCTGCAGCAACACATAAGCTACTATTAGTAATAAAATTTGCCAAAAGGTGGCTCCACAACATTATAAAAACTAGTCTAGGGATGTTTTATTATCAATATTTCGTGTTTCTATATTAGTATTGGGATTTGTAATAAAAATAGAAAAAACGTATAATAATCTAAATCTATCTAGAATAATCGAATAAAAGCTAAAATGATTTTTTCATCTGTTTTTTTCTGTCCATCTGTTTATGTGCATCAACAACCCCTTTTGCTCCATTTGTAGTGACGGTACTTGTTGTGCCAGCGGTCGCGGTTTCCAGTCCCGCTGGGGGAATTCATTTATGTAATGTGTACTTTATTCATGGGTGCCTATATTTATAATATGTATTTAAAGTTATATAATATGTGGTGTATCAACTATCTGGCATTCATAACACAAGCCTGGTAGCTTACTATGGAAGTAGATGGTCCTGTTGTGACAACTTTTTTATTGTACAGTCTTTGCTTTGACAAAAAGATTGCTAGTCAGAATTTTTTTTTTTACGAAATTTTGAATTTAATATAGTGTATAGCTTAATATCCGGAAAGTCCGTTATAATTAAAAAAAATGCATAGTCACGCAAGATGCAAGTAAATAAAAATATACAAAACAAAAGTTAATAAAAGCTTTTGCTGAAAAATATGTAAGCTCATAATATCGTTTTAAAATAACTCAGTCGTAAATAACCTTCGTTAAGGGACCAAAAACAGTAATCCTCGAGTTGTAAACAAAACAAGTCACCAGCGTACGAAAATAGCGCTGGAATGCCGGATATTGCAAGCAATCACAGGTGATGCTACTTCAGTTCGCGTTGTAGCGACCGGCGCGTGCGCACGCTTCTGACTAATAAAATTTTAAATCGATATACGAAATATTATGATTTTTAAATTTAAAAATCTTCACATAAACATTGTTAAAAATTCTGTTTAACGAGCGAATTTTCTTCATTTTAATTGAAAAAATTAAGCAAACTATCTTAGTGAACTTCTTGGTGGTTAGCTGAAGTTTAGTGATATTGTCAAATAAAAACCAGTGACTTTAGTGAAAAAAATGAAGGTCCTAACAGCAGAAGATAAAGTTGCAAGTGTTGGGAACGAGAATGAACCAAGAGTTGATGTGACGGACGCGAAACTAACCAAAGAAGAGTTGAATAGGTTAGTTGTTATCAATTAAGTAATTTCTGTATTTAAAAGAAAGTATTTTATTCATGTATTCTTTTATTTAAATATATAGTGAGCAGGTGATATTATAGAAAAATTTAAGGAACTTTATGTTTAAAATAACTTTTTTATTGTATTTATGTAAATTAGCTAAAGATTATCCATCGCACAATAGAAGAGCATTTACACAATAGTTTTTCACAGACTAAATGACCTCAAAATTAAACTAATTTACGAAGATTAATTGTTTTATTCAATTTATCAAGTCAGATAAATATTTGCATGTAGCGTTTGCCATTTGTACAACAAAAACTATAACAAATATTTTAAAGAATTCGTTTTAGAAAAAATATGAATTTAAAACTTATAAGCCAGCTCTATTTATGAGTAAATATTTTTGAATCAATTGTTAGTATAACCTTTTTGTTAAAACCAATTAACACATGAGCAGGTTTTTAAACACCACGTTTTTTTGGATCTTTCGACTTGTTTCTGTTCTAATATATGGACCTTGAAAGTACAGATAAAATGTTAATTAAAAAATCTTATTTAAAATTTTGTTTCCTAATCTGAAAGCACTCGTACGCAAGTTCGCGCTAGGTCAGACGCGCTGGCCGCCCGCCAGGATGACAAAACTGAGCGGAATGCTGTTTACGTGCTGAATTGTTGACGTTTTTTCAGGGCGTCGCGTCGTTTGTTACATTCCTAGCATAAAGCATAAAACAATCTTGGTACCACACAATGATAATATTAACAATTTTCAAAATCAACATCGGTTAAAATTACATATATATATATATATATTACATATATATATATTTATTATATATATATATATATATATTATAGTTATTATATATATATATATATATATATATATATATAATACCTTATTTTTCATGTTATCTTTAAGATATATTGTTTGGGAAAAGTAGCCAAGAAACACTATGACTGCAATATCATTATTGTATTAGTCCTGACTTGTTTATTACTCCTTTAAGAATTATTATTTACTTAAACCTTTGAGATGGATCATTATTAATATAGCGAGTATGTTAAAAAAATATAATATTAGTGAAGATTTGTATACATCACACACGCACATCGTAGATCTTCGTAGAGGGCGTGTCTAATTTATTGTAAACATGTAAACGTTCAGTTTGAATCCCTTTCAGTATATTATTTGTCTATGAAATGTTGCTCGTTTATCATTAGAGTAAAATAAATATAAATTATGTTTTATACGTAAATTATAAGTATATATATATATATATTTACTATCTATACATATAATAAAAGTCTAACTGAGTCGAATCTGTACATTAAATATTATTTGGAATATCTTATTTAAATAGACATTATTATCGATGCAGAGCGCGAATGTATAGTTTTTAGAATTTTTGTCTGTCTGTATGCTTGTTACCGCATCACGTAAAAACTACTGAAGGGATTTTGATGAAATTTAGTATGATGGTAGCTGGTTATCCGGGTCAACATATAGGATTCTTTTTACCGCGGGAAAATGTTTCATTTCTGAGAAAAAATACAAAAACTGCAATGTAAGAGTATACTAATATGTAAAACATAAGAATTTGGTTTTTGGTCATATGAACGCGGGCGGAGCTGCGGGTAATGCTGGTATAACTATAATTTTACAAATTAGAGAGTAAGTTTTTATTCCACGTAGCAGTGGAACAAAAGTTATCAGTTGTTGTATTCAGTAAGTTTGTAGGCTAAACATAGGTTATATGTGTACTAAATTTCATCAAACATACACATAGAAACTTTCATATTTGTAACAGTAGTCCAAATATTTGATTAACGTAAAATTTTCTTTTGTCAACAGAGGATGTCCACTTGGAGTGTCTCGCGTGATTGATTCTGTATATGTGTGCGGTGCTCACGCTTTGCCTGGAGCTGTGAAAGCTCTACGACCAGGTCTCGTAATAAATGCTGCACCAGAACTGCCGCCACCACCTGAAGATTATGTTCCTAGACACTATGTTCCACTGCTTGATACCCCTAATTCTGATATGTACCCTTATATGGAGAGAGTCGCAGATCTTATAAATGAGGTAATTGAGGAATTACCTATAATAACATTTATTTATAAATGATCAATAATATTAATTAAATATTAACTTTCGACGATACCTAACTTTTATGCATGGATGTAGTAACTTAGACAATAGCTTTAAAAATATATTTAGAGCACTAGATTTAGTAAATTTTAAGTGATTATTAAAGTTTTCTCATCTCTTATCAGGTTGTTATTAGAAATGAAGTGGTACTGGTCCACTGCGTTGCTGGAGTTTCAAGATCAGTTACCCTCTGCTTAGCGTATCTCGTGAAATGGTGCAAGATGACCCTGTGTGACGCATACCATCATTTGAAATTCAGACGGTGAGAAACGCTTACTTATTTAGATTATTACCTATATTTTATCTTATCTATACATATAATAAAATTCTAACTAAGCCGAATCTGTAAATTAAATATTTTTTGGAAAATCTTATTGAAATAGACATTATTATCGATACAGAGTAATTAAAATTATAAAAATGTTTAAAGTTAAAAAATATTGTAAGATAATTTTTGCAATTTTCATTTTGTTAATTGTGGGTAGACTGTCTGTAACAACTATACCTTCAAGACATGTAACACCTCAGTCTCTCCCGTGACCATGGATGCTGTAAAGCATTCGAAACGTCGGGAACCAAAAATCAAAATAAATCCGCGAAATAATCCGAAAAGATAGTTTTATTTAAAATGTCAAATATTCGCGTAAATCTAAGAAAGTATTACCGAGCTTATTTATTATAAAATTACGAAGCTGAGTTTATTTTATTGTTTGTTTGATTGCGCTATTTTTTGGAATTACCAGTCTGCTTTGAAATACTATTTCACACTACGAAACTTAGGAGTGGAAAATTATAAGCGGAGTCGCAGTGTAATGCTAGTGTTTATTTAAGTAAAATTAAAAAATTAGCGTTAGGAAATACTTAATAACATTTTTACCTTTTCAGGCCACAAATTCGACCAAACACAGGGTTCTTCAAGCAGCTTATTAAATTTGAAGAAAGACTTTTTGGCGAGGCGTCAGTTAAGATGGTGTACTGTGAAGCTATAGATAAAGAGATCCCAGACGTATATGAGCCAGATTACAGAGGCATGGTATGGTTTAGGCAGCGATATGGACCTATCGAGAATAACTGATAGGGAATAAAAACATAACGATTTGTAAATAACAATTTAGATTAAATAGTTTTAAAAAATAATTTAAATGTAAATAAATATTAAAAAGTCACTGTCACCATGTCAAATATTTATGCGTACTGATAGGGAAGATCTCATCACTATAATACAAGTATAATTCTAAGAAAATAAATCTATACGATAGTCATATAAATACTAATCTCCTTAAATAATTAAATTGTTAATGTAAGAATGTACGCATTGTATGGTGTCAATGATATCACGGTGAAAAGACTGAGGTATGAGAGAAGTTGTTTAAATAAATGATATTTAAATAGACATAAAATCCCTCTAACTTGCTCTTAGTATGTAGAAGTCTATATTTAAAGTTAAAAACTTTAGTTAAAGCTTAAACTATCAGTAGTAGATTAAGATGTGATAATTTATCGGTAATATCAATTATTATAATGATTTATGGGACCAAAATAAATATATTAATTTTAGCAATGTTTTTTATTATTTGATCATTTATATAATACTAGCAGAACCCGCGGCTTCACTTGCGCTAAAACTACAAAAAAATCTTTAAAAAGGTTTAGCTAACAAAGGTTTAGCTAGGTTTCGTACAAACTTTCATCACCTATTTTACGCCCTTATATGATGAATTTCGAAAACAATTTAAAACACGTATTTATTTAAATTGTAAATATTTATGTTAATTTGAAGAGCAATTTGAATTGAATTGAAGTTTCAAGTAGGTAATTCTGATCAGAAACAAATATGGAAATGGAATGTTTTATAACGTGTTTTTCCGTGGGATTGAGATAATCTCTCGCTAAAAAAAGGATAAGCCATTGTCACTCTCCAACTCTCCAACTATCTTTACACCAAAAATCACGCCAATCCGTCACTCTGTTTCGACGTGAAAGAAAGACAAACAAACACACAAACTAAATAACAAACACACTTTTACATTTATAATAATATTATAGTATGGATTAACTACGAATACATCAAAGGTATAATGGAAATAGTGTACGACCAAAAATACATCCTAGTGGAACACCAAAATCTTGCACAAAAAATTGCAGATAACATACATATGTTAAGTAATCCGTTGAGGTTAGAGTAATAACTATTTTCATTGAAGAGATGTTGTTGGCCTCGTGGCATTGAGCGCGAACCAAAATACATCAGCGATCTAGTGGGATGCATGGAGCAAAATGAACAGACAATACGCACACTTCCTGGTTGTGACGTAATTACATCTAAAATAAAACGCTATAGCTCTAATGGACATTCCTCTCTCACTGATTAGATCTTAGAAATGGATTCTCGTCTAATACGTTTTAATTTAAAGTAATGTGAAAATTGCCTAAATCTCCATTTCGCATATTTTTTACTTTCTTATAAGTTATTTTTTTTTGTATTATATTGAGATTTTTTTATAAATCATACTTGTTCCAATTACAATAAATTCTGAACAAAAACAAGAATAAGATGATAGTGTGGATCAATTTTATATTATTAATATTAGTTCTCATTCATATTTTACCAAAAATATTTTTATATAATACAATAACGCCCACCATATTTTTGTGATAAATATAAGACACTTTTTAAGAAATTTTGGCTTAAGAATAATGTCTTTTTGCCAAATACCTAAAACGTGCAGGTGGTTTCATTTGGCAGGGACTCGGATCAAGTTCAATGTTTTTACTAATTACCTTGACTGTCTACACATGTAAAAAAACATTTGCCAAATGTTTAAAAATAAAAAATTAAATATATTCTTAAATGTATTTTATGAGTACTGAAAGAGTTAAGTAAATACAAAGAAGTACACGCATTAATCAGAAATAAAAATATAAAGTTTGGCTTACTTGACTTATGTTCCTATGTCCCCTAGGTGAGGCAGAGGGCGTCCACAGTGCATCGCCATCCCGTTCGGTCTTCTTATTTTGAATAGACCGATAGATAGATAGATTAAGAAAAATCATTTAATTAATAGGTACGTTCTGAGAGGTAGCCATTTTAGATCAGTCATGTCTTTGTGATTTATTTTGGAAAACAAGTTACGTTAAGTTTGTTGAAAATACTTGCAAAACGCAGTAAACTACAACTCATGAATTCTTAAGTGTAATTTACTTCATACTTGGTCGTATATTATATGGAATAAGTTTTTGGCAATTACAAACTGTAGCCTTGATGAAGGTACTCAAATAATATTTGGATTAAGCCCAAGCCTTGTGCCATCACGGAAACACCTTTACTTTTTAAATTACGCGTAGTTTTAGATGAATCAATGTCATCTAAATGTGTATCAATAATTTTATTTATTTATTTGTTCGAAAAAATACTAAAGTCACAATTATGATAAACTTTGTTAAATTTGAAAATAAACCTTTTCACCTATTTTATCATTGTTAAGATGAAAATCAGAATGGAAACGATCAAACCAAAAACGCATCGTGCATTTACTTCGTCGTTTATATTGCTCTTCTTCCGGGTTTTTGATGCTTCGATGGAACTCGATATTTGGAAATAAAATAGAAAGAAAGATATCAAAGATATAACGACAGGAAACCAAACCAAAAGCAAATATTCTTTAATTATGATAAAAATATTGTATTTCATAGCTATATTGGATTTCCGAGTTGAAGAAAAAAAGACAAAACAAAATTATAAAGGGTACGAGTACATATTGCTAACCAAAACGTGGGTTGATGATAAGCAAAAAAGCCACTTTAGACCAGTTGGCTTTCAACAAATCGGTAAGTCTAATGGAAAATCCAGTAAAACCTACTAAAACCAAGTTTTCGTTTTAATGTGACGTCACAGGATCGTTTACGTACCACGACACTCCGATGCAGACTCAGACCACAACGACCTTGGGGTTGCTCCAATGGTCTACTCCCCATATATTTAAAGATTTAAAGATATTTATTGAACATAATCACATACATATTAAAAACAGTTAGATCGTAAGTAGCTGCATTAGTATAAACTGTGTCGCAACTATTATCACATAAGTATTTACCTGAAACAACCCGCACCTACCTGCTAAGGTGGGCCGGCTGCCAGTGCGTTTTTTGGCTTCGCGTCCGGCTGGATTGCTGGACGCTAGTGAACCACGCTTCGAGGGGATGCTCTGATCACCTGACTTAATGCTTAGATGTCATATTTCTATAAATTTATAGATATATATTTTTAGTTTTCTATTGGTGGCCACGATCGTTTAACGTCAACTTGCCTAAGGTCTAAGGAATTAGAAAAAAATAGAAAAATTACGAATGTTAGACATGAATGTATGAAGGTTAGTAAATGTATATAACAGTAGTGGGCGTGCTAATTTCTAGAAATATGTTTACCCCAGATAAAGGTATATTTAAAAAAAAGAAAATATCTCAGCCCGACCCAATAAATAGGCAAAGAATGTAATTTTTTCTGGCATAATAAATGTCATTTTGAGTTGTTTTTATCACGTTTCTGAGTCAGATTTTTATTTACAATTGTAACGAATGTATATGCAGCGAGTACGGGATTGCCACCAAAATATATTTTGATACTCAATAAAAATAAAGAAGGAATTTGTTATTTAAATTTTGCGCGGCCTTGTATGAATCAACCGCTTTATTAACTCGGTCGCACTTGATTTAGACTAAATCGCAAATAAAATTCATGACCTCCATACATACTACATTCTGAGTATTTGAGTCCCGACTTATGACGACCTTTAGATTTTGTATAGTTATTCAAATTATACTCTCTACTGCTTCTGAATAGCGTCATAAATAGCCCTTATGTTTTTTAAAGAAAAGACAATGATCATATATTTTAATTTAAAGAAATATTATTGTTTCAACACTCACTAAACGTTATTAGCACTTTCTAACATTATTTCTTAAATACACTATCGTTAGTGACAATTTCTGAGGTAAAATATTTAAATTAACAATTTCGCCTTTCGCTTTACAATTTACAGCTACGTTATATTTCATGACAATGGTGCATCAAATGAAATAATTACAAAAAGTAAATTGAGACAAACGGACATTGTTGAATTATTTGAGGTGCCTATCTAGTATCTATGTTAATATTATAAAGAGGTTGTGAGTTTGAGACGTTGTAGGGAGTAATGTCTGGATCTACTGAACCGATTAAGATAAAATTTGGTAAGACAGTTTGAGACCCTGGGAAGGACATAGGATAATTATCCCAGAAACCATCCCTTAAGGGGCTGAAAATGGGGATGAAAGTTTGTATGGGGAATCAAGCTTGGGACGACCCAAGCGAAGCGAGGGTGAGTCGCTAGTGATATAATAACAGTACCGAGAAGATTGGGAATGCAGAGTGAATTTATTAAACACCTAACATAAATGTCATTGCGAGTGGCGAGTGTTCTGCGTTTATATGTACTAATAGCATTTACATAAAATAATATAGCTCAAATAAAACATAGTGTTACGACATCGTTAAATAGACGATGCTATAAACATCGAATTTTGAATGTTTCATGATCATTATAACCTAGAATCGAATTGAATTAGGGTCAATTACAGCATTACTAATCAAAGAACAAAGAGAAAGACTAGGAATAAGGCCACAAAAATTAGAGTATATTTGAAAACATTTTTAAGAAAATATACTATCTTTGTACCAACGCTACGTTTTTTTATTTACTTCATTGTATGGTAGCGAAACGTGAGCGTGGCAGAATATACAAGCAAGATGAATGCAGTAGAAAAGCGATCTCTCAGAAGACTTATTTGACAGAATCCACGATGACGGGATTCACAGAATGGCTAGTTTAAATAAAAGTGGGATAGTAGTAGTAAAGAAAAATGTACTTAGATGGTTTGGAAACGTAGAAAGAATGACCAAGAAAATATACTGTCGAGTAAATGGAAGACCTATGGGGAAACGTCGGAGGACCATTGGAGACCAAGTATTTTTAATACTTAAAGAATATCAAGTCAGTGTGTGTTTGAGTGTGTGTGCATGTGTGTGTGTGCTTT